TTTTGTTTTGTTTTTTTGTTATCACTTTGCACACAAATAGCCAGAAATGTTAGAAACTTCTCAAATATGAAGTCTCAGCAGGCAGACTGAATGGACAGTATTTCAGACTTGTTTATGGAGAACAAAAATTATAATGATTTAAAATTATGTTAATTTATAGTCGGGTGAATCCAGGGCCAGAAATCCGGCCCAATGAAACAATATGGCGATTACTAGTTACCTGCATCTTTCTTGCCATTTGCATTGGGTCCTGGAAACCAGCAAACGGGATCCAAATAAAATGTTGATGAACAGTCTCTAGGATCTCAAATGCTACTAAATATTTTGATTTACCTCACTCACAAATTCATGATAATTGTGAAATATACATTTTCAAAAAATATATTAATAGTTTGTCTTGAATTTTGATCAAGTTCTGATAGTTTAATTTATAGTTTACAAACAAAATATAGATAACGTGAGAAAATTCTATTTATTTCAGACTAATGCTGATGGGGTTGAAATAAAAAGTTTGACTTTTACCTACAAAGCGTTCTTAACCAAAGTAGCCAATCATGTCGCATTGTTGATACCTCATGAAGACCAGAGTGCAAATCAAGTCAAGATAGCCAAGAAGATTTGCGAGAGAGCATTTAAAAAATATCCACAATTTGTACATCTAACACAAAGTGCTGCATTCACTACTTTAACTAACACTATGTATTGTGGAAAGATGAAGGTAAATGTTTTATGTTTTTTTTTCATTTTTTGAAGTATTGTTGAAGTTACCACAAGTGGTATTGGAAAAAATATGTCTGATTCAGACGAAATGATCTTTAGATGTGCTGAAAACCATTGAAAATCGTAGTAAAGGAATTGATCATTAAAACTTTAGAGGAAGATTGAAAACAACTGTACAAATTATTTTTTCTTCATCTATTTTGAAAGTACATTGTTTTTCTCTGTCAAATGTACTGGTATTTTATTTACCGTAAATGTAACTTTTTTTTTGTCTGCCATATATGCTGTTGGATATTTTAAAACAAATTTTCTCTGTGTTTTTTCTCATCCCCAATTTTCTAATTGGTCAACCCTTAATGTCACATAAAACATTACAAAATACTGATAAATAACTGAAATGTCTTCACAGAATGCAATTTAGTTTCAATTTCCAGCTCAGTATTCTGTTGTTGGTTGCAGATTCTTGAGAAGCTGTTACATCGTTTCAGAGAAGAAGGCAGCAAGATTCTACTCTTTTCCTACTATACAAAGGTACAGCAGGTTTATCTCTTGTTTGAGTAAACAAGCAAATTTTACTTGCTTTTTGTTGACTCCCATGTGCGAAGCACAAAAGGGAGTCTTTGCAGTTACCCTGTCTGTATGTCTGTATGTCTGTATGTCTGTATGTATGTATGTATGTATGTATGTATGTATGTATGTATGTATGTATGTATGTATGTATGTATGTATGTATGTATGTATGTATGTATGTCACTTTTTTTGTTCCACCGTTATCTCAAGAACCACTAATCAA